TGTTCCAGCTGAAACAGGATGCTGAGGGAGAACATTATCAGTGGTGGAAAGGCAGGATAAATTTACAATTTGCCTTGGCTTTATTGGTTTGATTTTTTTTATCCACATTTGCTAGTGTAGGAAGACGTCACCATTTAGAATTCATTGATGTTTCGTTGTTCTTTAGGTATAAAGTTATGAGCATGGGGGCATAAGACATAGTGCAAAGCTTCTCTGACTGAGTAGACTTCACCTTGTGATTTACACCAATGCAGGTGCAATCAGGTTCTGCGTTGCTCCTGGAGAACATCACACCAAATTTAAATCATAAAGGGTGAAAGCGCTTGAGGATGCCAGAATTAGTCCGATTGCTGAACCATCATTTTTGAGTCACAAATCCTCTTCTGTGTAAACCAACGCACATTTTGTCATTACAATGCGATCATGGTGGGGAGTGGGTTGGGGTTTTATTGCTGGGGGGAGGGGGTGCATGAGTGTCTGTGTCTGCCCCTTCTGCAGATTTCGCTCTGTAGCTTAGATCTCTCTCTCTCTCTTTCTCTCTCTCCCTCCCTTTTTGTTTCCCTTGCAGCCACTGTGCGCCTTGCTCACAGAGAAGAAAGCGCTTGTTTGTGCAGGATCCTCACACCTGTAAATGTTCCTGCAAATTCACACAATTAAACTGCAAGTCCAGGCAACTTGAGTTAAACGAAAGAACTTGCAGGTTTGTTTACCATACATACAGTATCATGATAAACAATGTGCCTTGAATTCCCCATGTTTTTACCTTTTCTACCATGTCTCTGCCCATCTCTGATCCTCCAGCAAAGATGGATTACCTGCTGAGAGATGCATGCTTTGCCCTGCTTTTTAATGTTGTGTTGGTGTTTGTAGATGAGAATGTGGCAGCTCTGTGCTTCCTTGTGCTTGTATTGTATCTTGTCAGATCATGAATCAATCTCTGGACCCCTACCCAGTCTGACCAGGGTATGGTTAGCCACATGTCGTCATTCAACCACTGGCTGTCTAGGTGGTGTCCAGAAAATGATGTGGGCTTCATAGACAAATGGAAAACATTTTGGGGAAAACCTGGTCTGATTAGCAGAAATGGCATCCATCCCACTTTGGATGGTATGGTTCTCATAGAAATATGGCTGAGATAATTACACAGCCTAAATTATGACAACCCAACCTAATTAAAATTAAGAGTACTTTTTAATAGAATAATTAAAGAGGACAATCAAATCAGGCTATTAAATATCAGATTTTTCTGATATAAATCATTACTGAATCATTTGGAAGATTAACATCACACTGATTTATTCTCTCTTACTGAAATCTGGTTACAGTGTAAGTCAGGGGTGCCCAATACGTCGATCACAAAGGTAGTGTTGGTAGATCATGTGTCAATATGATCAGCTTAGTTAATGCTTTCAAATAAAAAATGCAACATGTCTCCTCAAAGCTGCAGCGCCATTTTTTGGGGAACTTCCAAAACCTCGCATTAGAGCTGGAGAAGCAACACAAGGCGTGTGTGCAACTTGACATTGCACGCTACACAGAGCAGATTGACAACTGTTGGTCAGAGTTTGACAAACGCTTTCAAGACTTTGCTTCACTCCAGCCAGTCGCTACATTTATGTGATACCCATTTAGGGAAGATACTGAGGTTGATTCATTCACATCAAAAATTGCAACGCTGTTTCACCTGAGCTGGTCTGGACTGGAGGATGAGATATTGACACTACAGGCTGACATTCCACTGAAATCAGGGCAAATGGACTGTTTTGGAACTTACAGAGGAAAAGTACCCAAAGATGAGGAAATGTGCCACCTCCTTGACTGCATTACTTGGCTCTACTTATTTATGAGTCAGCATTTTCCCAAATGAAGATTATTAAGTCCAAATACTGCTCCACCCTTACTGATGATCATCTGGAAGTCGGCTTGAGGCTGGCTACCAGCAACTACTGTCCAGACTATGCAGCCCTGGCTGATTCCATTCAGTGCAAGTCATCAGAGTAAACTAACTTAAAGGTTCATGCAGTTATGTAAGGTGCGCCGACATATATTGTGTTTACATAAAGTATGCTCAGTATATATATAAATATGTTTAGTATTTTTAGTGTAGATAGAACATTTTGACCCTGGTCTAAGTGAATCTCACAACCCCACCCCCACTTTGTGACATTTAAGGATATAATTCCATTATTATTTACTTCAGTGCCATGTGCCAACACAATGGAGGGAGGCCACCTTAACTTTACTCCCACACAAGTCGATAATCTTGTTGATAGTACTGCAGCCTCCCTGTGTATGACAGTTGATACTGTTGCCCCTCTGAAAACAAGGCAGTGAAACAGAGGAGACCCCATGGTACAGCTCGCAGCTCCGCTCCCTAAAGCAGGCATCATGGAAACTGGAAAGGAGGTGGCGCTCCACTAAGTCAGAAGAGTTTTTCTTAGCCTGGAAAGATAGTTTAATAACATATAAAAAAAAAAGCCCTTCGTAGTGCCAGAACCACATTTTATTCACCACTGATGGAGGAAAATAAGAACAACCCCAGGTTTCTTTTCAGCACTGTAGCCAGGCTGACAAAGAGCCACAGAGCTGTTGAGCTCAACATTCTCTTAGATCTCAGTGGTAATGACTTTAAGAACTTCTTTACAAATGAAATCACAACTATTAGAGGAAAAAAATAATCAACTCTCACAGACATGCCATCAACTAAAATGCTTTAGAAACATCTGTAAGCCCTCAGTTATATGTAGACTACTTCTCTCCCATAGATCTCTCTGAGTTGACCTTAACAACTGCTTCATCTAAATCATCATGTTTCTTAGACCCCATCCCGACCAGGCTGCTCAAAGACATCTTTCCCCTAATCAACACGTCCATGCTAGATCTGATTAACCTCTCTCTATTAACAGGTTATGTTCCACAGGCTTTTAAAGTTGCAGTAATTAAACTTCTACTCAAAAAGCCTACTCTTAGAAACCTGTTGTCTAACCTTATAGTTACAGTGCCTTGCGAAAGTATTCGGCCCCCTTGAACTTTGTGACCTTTTGCCACATTTCAGGCTTCAAACATAAAGATATAAAACTATTTTTTTGTGAAGAATCAACAACAAGTGGGACACAATCATGAAGTGGAACGAAATTTATTGGCTATTTCAAACGTTTTTAACAAATAAAAAACTGAAAAATTGGGTGTGCAAAATTATTCAGCCCCCTTAAGTTAATACTTTGTAGCGCCACCTTTTGCTGCGATTACAGCTGTAAGTCGCTTGGGGTATGTCTCTATCAGTTTTGCACATCGAGAGACTGAAATTTTTGCCCATTCCTCC